GAGGTCTTCTTCCAGCTTTTTGTAAATTGTCTTGAGATAACATCTGTTATGAATTGGCGCTGTAGAAATAAAGATTGATTGATGTAATTGACCAGAATCAGAACTTTCATCACAGCCATGCAGTTATTTTGACATAAAATACAAACAATGTGCATACACATTACAGACAGCCTATGATTTATTTATTTTTATTGACTGTTTTCATTCTCAGTTTTTAAAACTGATAATTATAGGCCTGATTTTTCTAAAGATCAGATAAAGTTTATCTTGTAGAAACAGTCAAAGATGACTTCTCTTTTTTAATGAATTGCAGGAATCAACCTGAACTAACGATCTCAGAATGAGCAGAATCTGGTGCTTATTGCAAAAGAGAATAAATATTTATTGTTGGATGAAATCATTGAGTTGTCAGTTACATAGAAGCCTTTATCACTGCTGGTATACTGCAGTCTTAATGGGTTTGAAAGTTAAGTGTTCAATAAGTTAACAACTGAAAATGACAAACTTCTTGAAATAGATTAAATCTTGTGCGTTAGAGTGTGAGGAGGAAGTTATTGGAGAGAACACAGTGATGCTATTTAAGGCAATGTTTAAACTGATGTTCAGCAGAGACTCTGCTCAGATATGACTTGAAGATTTTGGAGAATACATTTGTTAAAACATTTGAGAAGGATTCACAAAGTTTCTTTCTAAGAGGCTGCATTCAATGGAAAATAAAGGGCTAGAACAAACACAACCATTTTCATTTAAAATTTGCAGGGAAAAGTCAGAATCAGATTTATTGTCCAGGTATGCTCACAAATACAAGGAATTGGACTTTGTGCTTTACAAAAATACAAAATTAAATATGAAATATAAACACACAAACTAGTAGGGCCGACCGATACTGATAATCTGATACTGATGTATATTGTCCGATATCTTTTTTAGATCTATCTTCTATCTGTAGAGATAGATAGATATAGATAAACACATTTATTGCGTTGATCTATCAAATGCAGTTATCAAACACTTGTGGAAAAGATTTATAACGAAGACAAGATGGTCACTCAACTGGAAAGTAACCAAACATATACGTGCAACACCATGTCTAGTGTAACTCAACGATACTCAGATTAAATGCTATTTGACAGGTGAATAAATCTACTAATATCAGCGATGAAATTAGCTGATACCGATAGTCATTCGATATCCTAATATCGGCAAAAATGATCAACTGGCCCATTAATCCGTCAGGCTCTACCAACTAGTGTTTACAAGCCAACATGAGACAGTAGAGCAATGGTGAGCAGTGCAAAAGTGCTACAAATAAACATGAAAATAAATGACATTATTATTTAGTGGTTGGGTTAATTCACATGAGGTAGATAGTTTTTTTTATAGGATTTACATTAAGGCAGTGTGCATAGATTGTTGTTCGACAAGAAGGATAACAATGACATGAATCAGTAAGTGACAATGCACCTCATTGTTGACTAGAGTTTCTTTTTGATCCATGAACTGATTAAAATAAGAGCTATGTTTCAAAATCAACATTATAACATGCTACCTAGTAGTGTAGACCATGCACACTCCAGCATGTCCAACTATACACATTATAAACTGTGAATCACAAGTAGAAGGGTAGCTGGTTTCTTAAGCTGACCAAACTATTTTTAAACACATTTACAGAACTTCCCCTTTCTCAAAGTTTCTCATCAATAAATGGGACTTAATGTTAAAAAAATCAAGTCTTTATTTCAATTTGTTTTCCCAAGTTGAACATTACATATATTAACATATATGCAAAGATATAATTAGATTTCAGCTGGTCATTCTGCCTTTTGATGAGAGCGAGCAGCGTGAAGATACTTCCTGGAAAGTTATGTAAGTGTAAAGAGGGAAGAAGTACAAGAAGAGGAGACAGAGAAGGAAGAATCATTTTGGGGCAGAGACACCCAGCAGAGATCACTGCAGACCGCCGAGAGCAGAAGAAGAGTAGTAACGGAGGTAAACCACATCATTTACTTGAGATTTATAAATATCTTTTTAAATTAAAAAAGGGAATCTGTCATTAGTGGTAAACATTTTTATTCCTTGACACATTTGTAAAGCTATTGATGCTCTTAATTGTCCAATCGGAGTCAAAGCTGATCGTTTGCACTTACTGACATTGTTTCCTTTTTTGTAGATCCTTGCTTGTGTTGTAGTTGCTCTCTGATGTACGTCGCTTTGGATAAAAGCGTCTGCTAAGTGAATTGTAGAATTAATTTGGATTATGAAAATTCATTTCATAGATGTTTTGCGAGCGTTAATAAAGAACATCACCGTTACAGTTTTTTTTAAAAGGGCTTTAAAATAAATAATTTATGGGAAACCCACAAGCCCGAAGAAAAATGAAGCCAAATTCAGAAAATTGACTACATGGTTTGAACATGTAATGTCCTGTGATCAAATATTTGATTAAACCATAGAAAAGTATAATCTAGGCTCCTGTGAGATACTTTTGGTTTGTGTTGATTCTGGCTCGACTGTAGACAAAGCGGTGCCTCTTATCTCTCTGCTGGTTTGATCGTGTACATGTAAGCTTCAGTATGATGGTTTGTTTTGTCTTCATACTGATGCTCAAGGGCGACATCTACTGGATGAGAAAGTCACACATTCTTCATTTAACAGTACAATGTGTGATCATAGAGAATTAATGCTGTGGAAAATATGTTTTAAAACCAGCAGGTGGCACAGTGTGTCATTCTGTCTGACACCTACAGTAGCGGCGGTTTCAGACTTTGAAAACACTTTTATAGATAAAGCCAGTCTTCCTGCTTATGGTCCCTTTTGCTGCTGTTGGTAAAATTAAGTTGATAATATTCACTTATTTTTTCTCATAACCAGCTAAGAACTCTTCTCAGAAGCTTCAACTGAAAGAATTGAATGTTTCAAATGTTTGTGCCTCTTTAAAGGATCAAATCCTCCTTCAGACAGGCCGCCCGTCTTTATCATCGATAAGGATGTCTCCTCTTATTTGGGCTACTCTTCTTTTTTCTGCATGGGGCATAATTGGAAAAACAGGTATGCACATTTATGACACTCTTATTATGGAACTAAGATTAGAACAGAATCATTTGCGATAATTTACGGTGTTGTTGTCTGACATGCTTACATACACAAGGTTTAAATTTCTACCCAGAATCAAACTGTTCATTACTTGCATATGAGCAGGGGCACCTCCGAGGATTTTGGGCCCCATGAAATAATAATAATTTTATATTACAAAATAAAAGTTATATTAATGAACTCATGGGCTCTCAGAATCATCCTAACTTTTCTTCTGCACACAGAGCCCCTGCATAGATGATGAGAGGCATTATTTAATCATCTTTTGACCGATTAAAATATCTGTGAGGAAAAGTTTACTGAACTAATCTTTTGTTTGACAAAATATTGAAAAGAAATATATACTGATTGCATAGATGTGTTTTTTTGTCTTTGTTTATTGCTGCTGACCAACATTTTTAATCTATCAGGAGTGTGAACTTGTATTGATATTTTATTAAATAAATCTGTTTTGTCAAACTAAATATTTCCTGTCTCTTTGTGTCTCTCACTGTTTGCTTTAACAGCTACATCAGATCAAGGAGTAAACCTCTGTAAAACAAATGCCTTCTCTGTCACTCTCCGTCAAGAAGAAATAAGAGCAGAGGCTGGACTCTGTGTTGTTATACCGTGCTCTTTCACCACTTGTTCTCCCTTTACATCCAAATATTATGTTTGGATGAAATGCGTTCAATCTAAAAGAGTGTGTCGTGATTCAGACGTGATTTTCAACACAACAGTTCCCAGCAAAGAAGTCCAGCGTGGGTTCAGAGATAGAGTGTCGCTGTTGGAGCCTGATGTGAGTAAGAAGAACTGCAGCATCATCATCAACGACCTCACTGCGTCAGACTCTGGATCGTACCAGTTCAGAGTTGAGAGTGACAAAATAAATCATAATGGAAAACAAGATGGATTTACATTTGCCAGCAAAATAAATGTCTCGTAACAGGTATGAAAAGTTGAAACAAATATATTAAATGTAGGATTCTATCCTTAATGAAGAATGAAGAAATGTTTGACACAGCAAACTACAGATGTCCCTGTTATAACTTCTACTTAGAGTCCAATCTAAATGTTTATAAGAATCATATTATTTAAGACCAAGTATAAGTAAATTTGACTTTGAGGCTGCTCACCTGTGTTTACTACAAAGCTCTCCTCCATCAGTTCTGACCCAGAAGCCCACATTGATGATTCCTCCTCTGACAGAGGGGCTGCAGAGCACACTGACCTGCACTGCTCCTGGTCTCTGCTCTGGATCTGCTCCTGAGATCACCTGGATGTGGAGAGGAGGAGGAGGAGGAGGAGGAATGACTCCCACATCACAGGAAACATCACTGATTTCAAGACTGAGACTCTGACTGATGTGGAACAAAGACACAGCTCAGCTTTGAGCTTTACACCCTCTGCTAAACACCATGGCACCAACATCACCTGTCAGGTGGCTTCACAGGTGGGACAACCACAGAGGAGACGGTGACTCTCAATGTGACCTGTGAGTAACACAAACTTTACATTGATTCTTATTGTAATTTTTTCTTTGCAAAATGTTAAATATGCTCAAATAGCCTAGCTAAGAAGTCCTGAAACTCATCTGAGAATATCTAAAGTCGCTCAACTTAAATAAGGATTTGAAACCTTGAGCTTTATCGAGCACATAGTGTAGTCTTTAACTTTTGAACTAATACGAAGTAAGCAGCTTTTTTTTTTTGTAATGTTTGCCATTACCTTGTATCTTTACTGTCAGAAGGCGTTTTAAATTCTAATGTCTCTGTATTTGATTTCACTGCTTTTGCTATGGGCTTCTCTTTTTTTCAGTCGAGCCACGTCTGGAGTAATACAGACGAATACATTTGTTCGACAGACAAAACAGTTCCCTTTTTCTTTATCTTGAATTCTAATTCTTTGTCTACATTATTGTCTTGCAGATTTAAAGAAACCTGTCATTGTGGGAAATACAACGGTTAAAGATGGAGACTCTTTAAATCTGACCTGCACTGCTGACAGTTTCCCTCCCTCTGTTATCACATGGACTAAACTTGGCTCAAACAAAAGCTTCAACAATCTCACTGGAATGGCAGAACTCATCATCCCTAACATGACAACAGAAGATTCTGGAAAGTACACGTGTTCTGCAACAAACCCGAACAAAACTGATTCTACACAGACTGAAGTAAAGCTGGGACGTAAGTGATCTCCTTTTAAAGAGATGAGCATGATCACATCAGCTTACTGTGTGTTCCCTGTGACATGAGATACTTCTTGTGTGTTTGCAGTGTCACCAAGGATCTTACACAGCTCTGCATGTGTCGTTCAGTCAGACGTCCTGACCTGTGTGTGCATCAGTGAGGGGTTTCCTTTACCCACCATTGAATGGCCGCTGCTGAAGAACCACACCCAGTACTCTGTCACTACTAACAAAACAAAGCACTCAGTCAACAGCAACATAACTGTATCTGTTAAAGATCACAACTACACCACTGTTCTGTGTGTCAGCAGCAGTGAGGTTGGGGACGTGAAAAAGACGCTCGAAGTCATCAGAAAAAATGTGACAAAACCGGACGGTAAGTGGTGAGAAACCAAGCACCCTCTGCAAATTACTTATTTGAAATGTCAACGCCTATTTCTTAATGTTTTTCAGTAAGAAGCCCCAGTGATTAAACTGTTTGATTTATTTTCAAAAGTGTTTCTTTTAGTGACAGAACATCTCAGCAAGCTGTTACAACTCATCACACAGCCTCAGGTCATCATTGCCTTTTTAATAGGCGTACTTCTTACAGCGACCATCTGCTGTTTGATCAGAACATGCCACAGGTATCCCTCGATGTTGGCTTCCCTTACACATACGTCCTTTTTAAACATCCATGCATTGATCTTTTAGCCATCTCTTGTTTTTATTTTTCGATGATATATTTTTAACGTTTGCATTTTGTGAATTCTGCATTATTTTTCTTACATCATGATCAGTCACAAATGACCACGGCGATGGTTTTGCATGCTTCATCCATTTTACAGAAAACCATACATAAGGGACATCAAAACTTCTGTGAGGAGATTTTAGTTTGTTATGATGAAACAGCCAAGATTCACAGTGAGGGACACGTTTGACCATTTAAAAAATAGGATGAGATCATTTTTGATAAAACACTAATAATAACGGTAATAATGGTCACCCTAAGATCTACCATTAACACGTCAGAATGTGTTCTTCCTTCATCTTAATAAGCGTTGTAAGGACTTGATCTTATTGATTCAACACAGTGGACATTTTTGTTCGTCTTATTTCCACAAATCTTTTCCACTGTAGTTTAATGCAGCTGAACTTACAAATGATTTTTAATGAAACCCTGACAATAAGAATGTTGTCGCTCTGAACACAATACATAAAATGCTTTAAAATGTCAGTGGTGACAAGCAGCGCAGCAGCATATCTTTTTTTAAAGATGTAAAATATAACATACACCCAGCAGATAAACGACGAGAGCAAGTAACACACAGTATTTATAAAAGATAAAAGGATAATGATAAAAGAATAATGGTTAATGCACAAAGGGACCATATTGCAGCAGGTTTAAAGTGCAGTAGTGTGAAGTGACACTGCTTTTGTGTCATCTAAATAATCCACGTTATAGTTCAACAATAAATATGAATTAATAACTGGCTGGTTAGCAAGAAAAAAACATTCAAAAGCTCATGAATCCTGGTCTGAAATATTTAAGATTACACTTACGGTCCTGATCTGTTTTTATAGTACGGTATCTCTTTTTTTATTCAAAAGTCCTTGATTGTTTTTTGATTATATTTTATGCCTCAGGAAAAAACCCAGGAGATCTGGAAACATGGCTTTGGACAATCTGGAGATGGTGAACACACACGCTGATTCACTGGTATTTACATAAATAAAAATTCTAATTATATTAATTTGTTTTTGGTCAAATTGTTCTAATGATACTATGCCATATGCTACAGAAATTAGACCTTTGGTAATTGAAAGAATCCCGTTGCAGGTAAAACAGCTTTGAAATTGTTAAGATTAAATGTAAAGTGAAAATAAATTCTACACAGCATACAATCCCAGAAGAGCATTTCAAAACAGCAACAGCTGACCAAAGTGCTGTACATGGAAACTCATACACACATGCACACACCAAATACTTACAATAAAATGAACAATTAAGCAACAACATTATATGACATTTGACAGAAATACAAGCAACCTGATTGGGACTCGAAAGCGACCATGTATAAGTACGTTTAGAGGCGGGACTGAAAAGACTCCACAGAGGGGGCCGACCTGACTGAGGGAGGAAGGCTGTTCCACAACCAAGGGGCTTTGACTGCAAAGACTCGGTCGCCTTGAAGTTGAAAATGTTTATTTGACTGAGAGATGTTGTGCATCAAGTAACATATAAATGTTTCTCATGTCAATCAGTCTTTAGTTGTATAAAGCCAATTCATAAGAAATGTTATCTCAAGACACTTAACAAAAAGAGCAGGTGTAGACTATCCTCTTCTCTTAATTCACCTCGAGCACTAAGCAACATTTAGCAAAGTTACATTGGCAAGGACAAACTGCCTTTAAAGAGGCAGAAACCTCGAGCAGAACCAGACTCATGTTGAACAGCCGTCTCCCCAAACTGTGCTAGTTCACAAATAAAACAGTTTCTCCTCTCTCTGACAGATGGATGCTGGTCAAGCATTGGGAAATGGTGGAGCTAACGGAGGAGCTGAAGGTGACGTTGAACCAAGAGAAGTGGAATATTCCAACATTAACATCTCCTTGTTGGAGAGGAGTCCCAGGAGAGCACAGGACGTTCAAGCCTCCACAGAATCGGAGTATGCTGAGATTAAGAGAGACAAAACGGAGGAGAGACTTGACAATGATGACCAGAATGAGGAAATATTGGAGGGCAGTGAAAAAGAGGAGGCGATGATGGAGGAGGACGGAAAAGATTGTGTCCCAGAAAAGGAGGAGGGGGACGATGTGGCATTGTATTCAAATTTGAAGGATGTAATGGGGGCGATATGAGGACTGTAGCCTCCTGGGGTCACTTGAAGATGCATGGTTTTCTTGGTTGATTAGTGAAGCATGACAAAACATATCAGATTTGACAGACAGATGTTAGTGTGTGGTTTGTTTTGAACATAAGAAAAAAAACATTGTCTTAAGGGGGGAATTGGGACAAAGACGAAGCTAGATCTGGTTGAGCTGAGCCGTTACAAAGACATGTTCAAAACATGTTTGATACTTACGAGTCCAGATCGGTCAGGCTCTGACTCGATTGGGAGCAGTAAAATAATCGTAGTGACACCACACACCTGGATGACAAGCCTCAAACCAAACACCCCTGACTGTTGGGGGGGGGGGGGGGGTCGGGCCACAATCGTCTTGTGTGTGGCCAGCTTAACTTGAAGATTTTTTTTCAATTTTGTTTTTTTTTTGTTTGGCTTTTTAGAATAATTTTTGAGAAAACAAGCTTTCATGTCTCACACAGTATTTTACATTTTACATACCAGATTGTCTTTATGAGCCTGTTAAACTTTGAATGTTCACATTGATATTATCATTTTGATTTCCTAAATAATTGCAGCTGAATTTCTTTTTTTTATTGCCTAAGACATTGTTTGTGTGGAGACTTTTTTAGTGACTTGGTTATGATAATGTGGTTTTATTTGTTGTCTTTTTTTTAAAGGTTTTTGTATATTCTGCTTTCTGCAAAGTTTTGTCGGGCACTTTTAAATATTTGTTAAGAATATAACCTTACATAAAAATATCATTATCAAAACATTGAGGTTTTTGTTGTAATTTTTTCAGGATGACCATATTACAGATATTTAGATATACTGTAATATAAGTAATAGATTACTTTCTTTGTTTAATATTTATTGAGCTGGGAGTTTCTTCTGCAGAGAAATACTTTGTCATTTTATGCAGAGAAACTTTCTCAATCTCTTTTCTTGTTCGTGCACAAAACTACTCCTGAAGTGTACAGGGTGAGCTGCATGTGTAAACACAAACAGCTGAATTTTTCACTCAGACATTTTCCAGAGTTTGTCCTGACACCCCCCCCCCCCCCCCCACAGATTCAGGGACAGTCCTCCTGAAATTCTCTTGACTTTTCATGAGTGCATGTGTGCAGCTTCTGACACAGCAGTGTGTGCTCAACACAATGACTGACATAACAGCAGTGTAATAAATGAAGTCGCTAGCTGAGCAGTGCAACAGGAAGGTATCTGAGACTAATAAAGTCATTTATTCCCTTCAAGCAAACATGTATGAATACTCAACTGTTGAAAGATCAAAAAGAGTTATGCAATTGTTGAATTTGTTTTTTCCTTTTATTATCATTTAATTCTTTCATCATTGAATACATAGGTCATAAAGTCATAACCTTTTTCTGCTTTTAACATTTCCTGTTAAACTTACACACACTCGTAGTGCCTTGAGGTCAAGATAAGTGTGCCATACATGAAGCAAGACCACATAGGAGCTCGTAGGCGTATAGCGTTTCTGAGTATCAGCTCTTCTGTGTATCTGCTCAGTTCACGGTCTTGGAGCTGAAACCACATATGAACATATTTTGAAATCCCATTTTGGGACTTAGTCTCTGAGCCAAGATCTTTTAAAACCTCAAGTGTCTACACTCACAGGTTTAAGTTTGGTCTTTGAGTTTTGTTTTCCTTTTCCATTTTTTATATCTTTTACTTTTACTGTTTTGTATTTGCATTTGGAATATCATTTGAAATTTTTTAATGACTTTTCGGAAACTTTTTGAAATCATTTTCTGACTAAAATTATTTTACACCACAAAGACTGGAAGTTCCCCTTAAGGACCCCGTGAACCTTGGAAGGTAAGTTTTGAGCAGCCACACCACGGCACACTTGTCTTACTGATTTATATTACACACTTCATACATACCTAACATCCTAGCGGGGGGAGTTCACAGTTATTTCCCCTCCGGGGGGTAATCTAGAGTCCTATACCAGGGGTTATCCTTGAATCTAATTATTCTAGAAATGAATGTTAGGCAGATAATCCTGGGGCTGTGATTATAACTTGTTCATCTGTCCTCCAAAGGGTGTTAGAGGAGTAATTTTACATAGCTCCTTCCACTAGGAAAGAGTAGACTAGCAGGTTGGCAGGGAGTGAGCCCTCATTTAGTTCAATAATTAGTTAACTAATGTGTGGTGAGCTTCCGTTAGCTATTGTAAAGTTATTCACCCCTTTTTGCATGTCCAGGACATGCTACACAACGGAAAAACAAACAGTCAAACAAAGAAGTGCTGTCTCAGAGGCCGACACTAAAATGGTGAAACAATAAAAATGCAAATACTGCAAGTACTCATGACAGTATTAAATACACTCAGCTGTGATAAAAGGCACATGAATATAAGAGGGCAATCAGAAGTCAACTGGCACTACAAAATATTTGACAGCAGTATAAACTTCATACTGTTCAAGAGGAATGGAAAGAAACCATGTTGGACCAGAATAAATAAAAACTTCAAACTTACCAACAACAAACACAATGACATAAAAGACAATACAACATTGGCTGGTTGACAGGTTACTCAACTACCAAACTTCCTCTTTCCAAATATTTTGCATCTGTAAGTCATGGTTTGGTACGAACAACAATCACAAAATATTCTCCTCAATGAATTCTTCTTCCAGAAAGGATATATGATTCACTGCAGTGCTTAATACTGCGAGGAATGCAACTGTGGTAGTTTTTAAAGAAATGCAACAATACTCCGCATGACGGTTTTTGCACAAAGAAGGAAAAAGGAAGAAAAGTGTTGAGAGGAAGAGTCTGTTAAGAGCAGAGTGACTCTGCAGACTGTGGAGAGAGGAGAGAAGAGGAAACAGACAAACAGGTACCACGCATCACTTATCATTATTTAAAGAACAAGTTTGACTTATAGCTGGAAATGGTTGCCGTTTCGATTTTCTTAGGTGGTACAAAAAAAGGTCCAGGTTGGTCAAAAAACTAGCTTTTGCTGAGAATAAAAGGTGTAGTAGGTGTTGTAGGTGTAGTGTGCTTCACTAATGGTGTTTAGTTTGAAAATTAGATTGTTAAATATGTCTGAGGTTCTGTTTGTTACAGTGAGGGACCAGTACTCCAGTGGGCACAGAGCAGGATATGTGCCCTTGAACATTGCAGAGATGATAGAAATGTATCACATCAAAGCAGCTGTTCAGATGTTTTTAACTATTTATAATCTGTATTAACTTATGTTGACTAGATTTCACAAAGTTCTCCACATTAAAGTAACAGAATAGCTGCACCCGTGGAAAATTGGTGGCCAAAGTTTAAAAAACAAAGCAACTATGGAGTAACCAAATGTGCAACATCCTGTTTAAGAACTGTGTACTAAACTGTGGAACAACTAAGTATCAGTTTCACCTGCTGAATTTCCTTCAAGATTCACAGTAGCTTTAGTTTGAAGCTTGTCCTGCGGAGGAAAAATAAATCAATCAATTAGCATTTTTGTTTTCATCAAGATCGCCTTTCTGTTCGGTCTGAGGTGCTTCCACTTGAATAATATTTGTTCTTACAATTTCGATTTGACATGTTTATTTATTCATCCAATAAAGTAGTTCTTAGTTTAATACTTATGTAAGGGCTCGTCTTCATTTATGAATGAAAACATGGACAAAGGACCTGATTATTGCAAAGATCAGAGAGACTTATTGTGCAGAGTTTTGACTGAGTTTTCTTCTTGAGCCCAAACTGGAGCCTCTGGGGAAAGTGGTAGGCAAATGTTTTCACATGAAGCATAGTGAAAATGTAACTTCCTGTATTAATGTCTGTGCTGCCAGCAACGAGACTTTGTCCTGTCCAGTTCAGTTACTACCAAACTTCCTGTTTGTGTGTTTTAAAGTTCTTCAAAGGGAGTTTGGAGATCGTCTGTCTCAATCAACAAAATAAGATGCTTCTCCTCATCTGGCTGATTCTGCTCTTCACTGTGGAAAGAAACAATGCTCAAGGTACAGAATGAAACTTGAACGCCATCTTGTTTGTGCTACTTTTTATTTTCTTACGCAGCTGAAGAATCTTTCACCTTTTGACAGCTCAGCTAATTAAAGTAATATATTTCTTGCTCATAAATGGCATGACTTGCAAAACTTAAAATGTTTGATATATTTAACGTTTTGAATAAATTTATAATTGAATGATGTGTGATCATTTTACATGATTATTTTACGGTCTGTTGTTGTATTGAAAGAGGAACCATGACTGGCTAAACTCATATCAACCTCATGCATCATGAAACAGTTGATAAAACCATGCGTCAAACAGCCTTGTTTGACCTCACAGGGTTCAGCAGTATTTCCGTACATGTTTTCATTCTTTGTCAGTACAAGAAGTCCTGATGTGTAATCAATGTCTATACATCTTACATTTTTGAATCTCCCTTTTCTCCTGTTTTTATTTTCAGTTGCATCTCCCAACACCCAAAACATAACAGCAGAGGCCGGACTCTGTGTTGTCATACCCTGTAAATTGTCTGATGATCCAGCCTTTGCTTTGGAAAGTGCAGTTTGGTACAAATGTGAACAGAACTGCACTGATTCTGACATAATACTCCGCTTGAACAACACAGACCCAAAGACTCAGTCTAAGCGAGTGTCACTTCTAGCGAATGATCAAAGGAACTGCAGCATCGTCATCAATGATCTCAACAAGTCAGACTCTGGATCGTATGAGCTCAGAGTCCTGAACAAAGCAAACAACAGATTAACTTCTCAAAGAGCAAAAATCACTGTCAAAGGTAGGAATAACTATACATCAAATTCTCTACGTTCACCGTGGATTTTTCTCTCAATTGTTGTAGTTAAAATAGTGTTTGGCTTCTATCAGCTTCTATTGGAGTGGAAACATCAACAACACTAAAAAGCAGGAAAGCTAATTTTAGTGTCCCTACAAGGCAGTTTGTTCTACAGATAGTAAATGCATCAAACACCAACACAGTGAAAAATCCATATCACCTACACTGTCAAACCAAGTCACCAAGAAAGAGGAAGACATAAAAGGCAAAATACCGGAGATGGTTCTACATTAAGGGAGACCCAACCTCTAAAGAAGAGTCCTTGTCTGCTTTATACAGCTGCTTAAGATCTTATTGAAGTCTTTCTTTACCTCTACCACACCTATGTTTTTTCCTTTTGATATGAATATATCAGTCAAATTTTAAGTCAGCAGTAACCGTCATGTCTCTCTTCATATCTGCATGTTTACATACTCACTCTAAGTTTTATTCCTCTGTGTATTTGCTTCCACTGTTCTATAGATCTGAGTCAGAAGCCCACTTTGAATGTTCCTCTTCTGACAGAGGGAACTCAAACCACGCTGACCTGCACTGCTCCTGGTTCCTGCTCTGGATCTGTTCCTACGTTTTCCTGGGCTTGGAGGACACCAGGAAAGCCTAACAGTCCCATCAGAGAAAGCGTCAAAGAAAGTGGACAAAACTCGACTTTCACCTTTAAACCCTTGGCCATACACCATGGCAAGGAGGTCACCTGCAAAGTCAGCTTCAGAAACAATGCCACTACGGCAAACACTGTGATTTTGAATGTGACCTGTGAGTAAAAAAAACTAAATATGGTACCATATAACATCACCTTTACTTTGAAAAATGTGAAAAAAAGATGCTCTACTGTACAGCTTTCTGCAGGTGTTCTGAAACGTGAGCCTATAACCTTAGATGATTCATTGGGCCATTTATCATCTGGATACAGCTTCCCAACATGTTTTTGCTTACATTCTTAGAGGTATTTTATACTTCTTGTTTTATAACCATTGCCTGGATGAAGCCCAAAACCAAACTGAAGGTCGAAGGTTCTGATCCCCAGCTCCTGCATTCACATGTCTGATGTGTCCTTGGGCAAGACATTTAACCCCAAGTTGCTCCCGCTGCTTCGTCAGCTGCGTATGAATGGGATTAGTTACATCTGATGGTCACTTTACATAGCAGCTTCTGCCATCAGTGGATAGTTGTGACCTGCGGTGTAAAATCTCTTTGAATTGTCAGAAGACTAGAAAAGCGCTATACAAGCTCAAGTCCATTTACCATTATTCTGGAAAACACCTGAAGTACAGAGGATGTGTCACACGGATCTGGCTTCTCATTCAGACACATACAGTACAACCTCAAAGTCACACATGTATGTGTAAAGTGGAGTAGACTAAACCCTTGTCATCAGAAAGTGTTGAATATATTTTTTAAATAGATGATTGATCTTGGGGATTGAGGCCTTATGAGAAGTTTAGTCTCATATTGAACATCTTCAAGCTAATTACAAAAAGAGTTGTGTAATATATTCTAAAAACCCGTCCAAATTTTGTTTCCCAGATGTCAGGAAACCAGAAATCACTGGAAAGACAACAGTAACGAAGGGCGACACTTTGGATCTGACCTGCCGTGTTGACAGCTTCCCTCCCTCTGTCATCACATGGACTAAACATGGATCAGAAAAACCCCTGAGTAACTCTCACATTGGATCAGCCCCTCTAGTTATCTCTGATGTGAATTCAAATCATTCAGGACTGTACACCTGTGCGGCAAAACATCTCTTCAACAGCGTGAACATTACCGTGATGAGTAAGTTCACAGTGTGATGGGTTTTATACAGAAAATGTGTCATTCAGGAACTGAAACTTGATATTCTATTAATTGAAAAGAGAGAAGAACCCTTTATTAACGTTCTTAAAATAATGCGTGGTAACTTCTCAACACTGACTTTGTACAATGAAATGTGAAAGTTAAAATTTTTTAATAGCATGTCTTGGTGGGTTAACTCGCATACGATATCTTTTTCTATGTGACTACCAAAATCCTGTTTCCTTCATCTCTCAGGTCTGCTGTCAGTTTGTAGGCCTCCCACTGAAGCCTAATGTTCAGACATTAGAAACTGCATTATTATCAAAGTAGAAGTTAGTTTAATTTAAATTGAATTGGCCCTCTTTTTTTATACATATGAGTGGCTCTAAAATAACTAGAAAGACACTTGGAAGGAAAGTCATACTTTGAATCTAACCTGCAGTCTTGGAAATATTATTGTATTCTACCCACTCCCCTTCAGCTTGATTGATATGTTGCGATTCTGCTTTTTTTTTGCAGTGCGTCCAAAGATCCTGAACGGCTCTGGATGCGTAAATGACTTAAAGCTTCTGACCTGTTCGTGCATCAGCAGAGCGGACCCCTTACCCGGTATCAAATGGCCGCTGTTGGTGAACCACACGGAGTTTACTGTCATTACCACCACATCCAACCACACGGTCAACAGCACCTTCATCCTAGCAGTAAACGACCAAAGTAACGCTGTTGTCGAGTGTGTCAGCAGCAATGAAAATGGAGATGTAAAACAAAAACTCATCGTAAATAAAGAACAACCAAAAGATGAAGGTGACAGATCACCTTTTGAATGTTCTTTTCTCAAATCTACCTTCTTTTCACAGCCCTTAATCAAAATGTTGAGACAAATGCATGGAAAGTAAATGTGCTGTCATAGACTGATGTTTTCTAACAGACTTTTTTATTGATTCCAGGTCAATACATTATGAAACTGCTCCGAGTTGTTACACGGCTAGATATTCTCATTGCCTTTTTGATTGGTGCTCTCCTGTCTGCAATCATTTGCTGTTCGGTGCGAAAATGCCACAGGTACACTAAGAAGTGCTTGTTCTTGTTTTATTTCCTTATTTTACTCTCTTGTTTATCTCCATGTCCAGGCTTTCTGCACACATATTTTTATTTCATGAAGGATGCTTCTAAGAACATGTCTGAAATTATACATCCTGCTTTTGAAAATGATTAGCAGTAATGGAAATATGTTTAAGAATTGGTGTTAGTGGTTTAAACCATGATAGAATTCTAAAAGGACCCTTTAAAGTCTATTTCAATTTGACTTTAATCATCTGTGGAGTGTTATTTGGATGTAAATGTTTGTCTTTTTTTTGTTTTTTTAAATCCTCAGGAAAAAACACAGAACCCATGGATATCTGGCTGAGACTCTGGAGATGGTGACAAGTCAAGAAGATCCACTGGTAATCATTTTCTACCGCAGATGTTATTACACATCAGTTAAAAGGTTAAAGCCCTTACATCTAGGAATTGCAACTTTTGTGACACCTAGTGGTAAAACTGGAAAATTGCATCAAAATTAATCAAAGTACAGGATACTTCTAAAAGCAAAACGTTTTTCAATAAGTGGAGTGAAGCTGTGGAACAGTCATGAAGCTGTTTAAAAATGGTTTTAAAAATGTGATTTTCACGAGGTACAGGGATGATCACCAGGTGCTTACAGGGATTATTGTTTGCATATTTATTTATTCAAAAATTAGTTTTTTTTTTCTTTTTCCTTCGGTCTTCTTTCCTCTTCTTTATTCTTTTGCTTCTCTAAATGTTTTCACATATATATGTATGTATGTTGTTTCTTGTGAATGTATGTGTATGTATACACTTTATATAGATATGAATTAGGTACAACCATATATTGTAAACATTAGATTTTAAACATGTTTTTTTTAATGCTAAGATTAATATAAAATGTATGAATTAAAGGAGAAGGGTGGGATTAAATTCCTTTTCGGACGTGTAAATTGATAGGGGAAGTATTTGAGAGCTTCTTTTGTATGATGTCGTTCATTGTTTGTACAAATTACTTTGTTTCCCCTTTTTTTCTGTCTCCTTTTTTTGAAATTTTCTTTTCTTCTCTCTATGTCTATAGTTTTATTTTACATGTCCGATATAAACTTCAAACAGACAAACAAAGCTGAGTGAGCCCTTTGAGTTGATTTCGATATTTAGTCTTCTGCCAATTGTTGCTGTTGTTGTACCTGATAAATGACTCTTACCATTTCTGTGTTGTACCTGACAGATAGATGCTGGTCAAGCAGTGGAAAATGCTCAGGCCATCGAGCAAGAGGCACCTGAAGGAGGTGACGGTGCGGCAGCAGGGAAATCCGATGTGGATTATTCCAACCTGGATTTCTCCCGTTTCAAAAGAAATAATCTTGCAGAGAAAGGAATGGCACAGGAAACAGAGACAGAGTATGCTGAAATTAAAAAAGGAGAGGCGGAGGAAAGGCTAGATGGAGAAGGCAAAGAGGAGATGGCAGGAGAGGATGAGGAGACAAAGGAGTTTGTGGCAGATGGCGGGGAAGGTGAGGATCTGTATTCCAATGTGGAGGACATAATGGGTCAGGAAAAAGAAGGTGCTGTTTAGGTGTTGAGGATGACTTCTGTAACGGGTTCTGATATGATGGCTTCATTCTTTGTATTTGTCTTGCTTTGGCTACAGCACAGAGATTTTTTTCACCTGGAGAAAAGTCTTTATAGAGAAACGTGTTATTTTTCCAATTGCACTGTTTCCACAATAGTATAAAACACGTAATCCATACATTTGTATCTTCAGGTGCCTTTTCTGAAAAATCCAAACAAACCCAAACCCTAAAGTACAGGAAAAGGTAAAAAGCTGATATGGAAATCATTCAAGTACAAATTCTCACACTGTCTTAATTTCATATTGCATAATTATTATTTTGTATGCAAACCTGTATTGTTGGTTTTGACAGTGAATCATTGTATACTGTCTAATGTTGCATTGTCTGTTGTATATAACAGCTGAAGCTTTTTTTTGATTATTTTCTTAAATATATGGTATGGGCAATTTAAAGGAGCGATATGTTACTCTGACACATAGTGTTTAAAATGGGTACTGCAGTCCAAATTCATAACATTGGAGAGCGCTGTCTCCCCCCGCCCCCTCCTCTCTAGAGTCGATGCTAACGCGCGTTGACATTTCACGGTCATGGAAGCTTCAGTGTTTAGCCAGCTCTACATTGGTCTAAAAATCTTTCTGCGTTTTAACCTCTCTCCATTTTTTAAAAGCGTCTCCAATATTGATCCTAATTTGAGCACGTTCCTACTCGTGGAGCTTATTAGAAACATGCAGAGGCTTTTTAGGCCAGGTAGAATCAGTTTTATCTTCACCAGTTTGCTTGCCCACATCCATCACTGTAACACCTGTTTGCTTGTCTGGCAAACCGAGGGGCGTCCAAAACGGCCATGTGGGGGTGCCTTAAAACTACCTACCATCTCTGGAAGGAAAAAAAAAAAAAAAACATTCTGCACCAGAATCGAATTTTAGGAGGAGGAGGACATACTGGCTGCTGCAATGTTGTCAGATAACCCAGAACTAAAGCTCACTATTTCAACTCTGCACTCTTCTCTAAATATTTGTATTTTGTGAACATAACCCACCTTTTTCCTCTGGCTCATAGCACCCAGGTGTTAGAGTTATTATTGCATTACCATTGCAGTGGAACTGTGCACCTTCGACAGATGTACTATCACAGTTACAGGACCAACACATACAGCTGTTTTTTAATTATAATTATATCTCTAAATTCAAGTCTAAGTTCTTAGTACTCAAGTCTAAGTTCTTAGTATTCAATATATCTGTATGTGAGCTCAACCCAATTGAGCTCACATACAGATATATTGAATCTACAACAATGTTCCCCGCTATGAGGCCGGAAATCGTTTGGGGGATGTTGGCTAAAAATAACATTTGAGGTTTGAGATGTTTTGAATACTAACTTCCTCTTTAAACAGATACAAGAAAAAAAAGCTGCAGCTTTACTCATACAGTAGGTTTCTCACCTCCCCCTTTTCTCTTTTTAAATAACTTTGTTCCTCTTTATTGACAGTGCCTCTTTTAAGTCTTTATGAGAAACTGCATTTTTTGTAACAACTTTGATAGCTAATGAAAAGAAAATGAAACTCTCATATTGCAGAATGTGCTGTTTGTATGATAAAATCAATGGAGGGAGAAAAAAATCATTGCATTTCTTATGTGTTAACAATATAAATCAAGGAACACGTATTGATGCTTAAATTACGATTGTTGTATCCATTTCAAAACATCTGGGCTTTTTCAGATCAATAAGAACAACTTTATGAGGATGTGGGTGTAGTTGTATAACTTATTTTTGGATGGTACATGAGGGGCTGATATTCTTGAGCAAGGGTTTGACATGTTGTGGAACAAAGGTCCAGGATGGTATTGAAAAATAATATGTAATGCACCTTGTCTTTTTAGATATCAGAGGATCAAATATTAAATCCTTGACCTTTTGGACAAGGAGGAAAAAGAGGAATCTGTTTTGCAAATAAATCTGTTTTTAAGTTATTTCTTGACAAAATGGCGATGTCGGCCAAAATGTTATGCTCATACTTTTGCTTTATTGATATGATGATAAGTGCTGCAATAATCAAATAAATTTAAATAAATGATAATGCTTTATATGTATTTGTTGTTCTTGTAAACATGCTGTATGAGTAGGCTTATGCATGAACACAAGCAGTACACAATATGCATGTATGTGCTGAAAGTGAATGTGGATTAAGGCTAAGCTAACAGGATTACAATGTTCCACTGGTGGAGCAGACACTTTAAATAGATCAAGCTGACTCTGTCGGTGCTTCGGGACTGCAGAAGAATCGGCATTAGAAAACTGAGAAGTATTTTAACCACATTGCTGCGTCTCCCCCAGATCTGTAGGTGAGTGTGTGCAATATTATGTTTGTAAAAAATAAACTATAGTTAAAAAGATAATATTGATTGGTTTGGAGCTTGTAAACTGCAGGGAAATAACCAATTAAATTTAAACTTACAGCTATGTATTTATAAAGTTAAGTTTCAGATTTTTCTAAAGGGGTTAGCTTGTTAGATAGTTCTATTAGGGACCATTAGGTTTGATGTAAACATCATGCTGAGTAAGCAGGTTTCCTCCCACGCCGGAAAACTTATTTACTTCCAGGTTTCTCGTAGGAGGGTGTTAAATGATCATGTTTGCAAATCTGCAATTTCCATTTATTTTTATTGACGTTTTGTTGTTTGTAGTCATTTGGCACACTTATTAAAACGATTATTTTGTTGATTCGATCAGAAAGATTATGTGAACTACATTTGATAATTAAAAGCAACGCAAAACTTCAAATGACTTACAGGAACGTTTTTTTGTCTTTATGCAGAAATGGCTGAGGTTTTCAAAGGCCTGAACCTTCTTGATACCCTCAAAGAGTCCATAGACAATAATAAGTTATCAGATGTCAAGGATGCAGTGGAAGATCTCCTGATCAGTCGAATCAACTTAGCTGTGCTGGGGGACCGTGAGGATGGAAAAGCCACCTTCATAAACTCTCTCAGCGGCCTCAGTCCTGGGGATGAAGGAGCAGCTCCATCTCCATCCCCCGTTGCCCCGGAGGAATTGGCAAGCTACCCGAACCCTAAGCACCCTGATTTTCGTCTGTGGGATCTACCAGCTGTCCCTTCAACCTCTCCATTTGAACCTGAGGGATTCATGGAAAGAGTAAAGTTCCTCCGTTACAATGCCGTCTTCATGACATTCACAAAGACGCCCCAACCTAACTCTGTGAAGGTGTTCCTGGAGGCCCGTTCACTACAGCGACAAACTGTGTATTTTATTCTCCTAGCTACAGAGAAAGACACAGAAAAAATCTTAGAAGAAAACAGAAAAGCCAGTGTGGAGGTGCTGAAATCACAAGGTGTTGCTCAGCCCAAAGTCTATATGGTAAGACCCTCTACTTTGGAGAAGTTCGACTTCCCTGGCCTGTTGGAGGACATGGGACGAGAACTCCCAGAAATCCGAGCCCACGCCCTTCTCTTGGCTCTCCCAACGCTAACCTCCACATTGGTCACTCAGAAAAAGGACGCATTCAAAGCACTTGTATGGGCAGCTGCATCGCTTTCTGGTGGGGTGTCAGCTATTCCTGTTCCATTTGTGGCCTCCATGGTGGACTCAAGTGTAGCAATGCGGATTCTAACAAAAGCACAATTATCTCTGTGCCTGGACAATGAATCGATCGAGCGCCTGGCCCGACAGCGAGGTATCGAACCAACACGACTTAAGGGGCTGCGGACTTGTGAACTGTCAGTGGAGGTCACAAAAGGTGAAGTGAAAAGGCGTCTAGCAGTGGCAGAAAAGGACTTGGCCACAGTTTCTTCAAAGTTTGTGGAGATGGCAATGCCGAAACATGCCCGTTCTGTCAGCCGCTCCTTTGCTGCCATGCTGCAGGCCCTAAATGGCGCAATTGATGAAATGGCGACTGATGCTGACAAGATAGTGGCTGCTGCGGCTTTTGGGGAGGAGAAGTAAATTGAACTTTTTTTTCACTGTTTCCTGTTTATGTACAGTTCATCTTTACTTTAATGTAATACAAAGTGCAACAATACAAAACAATCTTTTGTCAAGTGTTTTCTCTTTTAATGTGTGAAAGGATGTGGTTAAACCTGTGTAAGCTTGCATTCTGCAAAATATATATCAAGAACTGTATGCTGCTCTGTGCCTGTTGAAAGACTTTGCACACCCTGAACAGTTTCTTTCACTATCAGCAGAAACATCAAATTAGAGGAAGTGAGAGGAAGTCCAACCAAATGCTTACCATAGAAGCCAAGTAGAAGTCAGTGATATAGCATCAGATAAATTCTGAAAGATGTTTTGCTCTCAGCTTGCATGATTGGACATGCAAATTTTTTGAATTGAGATTTTTTAAATCTGACTTTAGTTGGGGAGGAAGGGTGTATGCTATAAACTGCTATAAGTGGATCCTCTGAGGTAAGAGTGAGCTTAATATTTGTATCATTCAATCTAAAATATTTCATCTATTTGACAGAGTGGTTTGAAAGAATCACTAATTTCTGTCTCAAAAAATTCATCTTAACCTTCAAGATGGTTAAATGTAGTTTTTTAAATGGAAGTTTTGATTCCAAATACAATTGAATGGGTTTGCTAATATTTGAATTCATCTTTCTAAAGCAAATGTCAACTCAATGTAGTCACAAATATACTTGGAATTTACAGGGTTCCCACGGTCATGGAAAACCTGAAAAAGTCATGGAATTAGTAAAATTCTCTCAGTCATGGAATTTTGTTGTTTAAAATGAAATTAATTGTTACAGTGGATAACCTTCCACGTAATGTAACATAACGGCAGAAACGGTAGGATTTGCCGTTAGCGGTTTGTAAGAGACCTCAGTTGCCAGGCAGCAGAACACAGCCCAGTGTACCACCTGCAGCATCACATACCGACAAATGACTAACTACTTGCAGGAAAATGAGTGATGATGTATCTGTATGTTGAACAGGTGTATTGATAAAGTATTGGCTTTTTACTTGCGAAGGTTTTATTGCACTTGCAGTAAAGAGTCCTCTGCTCTCAGTGTCGAGGCTGTCATGGACACAGAGCAGCACAGAGAGGCTGCAGATGATAATTAAAATTACACCAAAACATGTAAAAAAAAAAAAAAAAAGTACACATAAGCTTATAAGTGATAATTGAAAAGGAATTTTTTTTTGTCTATACATTGTTTTTTAGGAAAATCCTACTCTTGCTCTTGCTCTAATATGCAGCGACACGTGACAAGGTGACAACTGCACCTCACATCACGTTTCTTTCTTTCTCCACACGTTTCCGTTTCTCCCTCCACGTCTGCCAGCTAGCTGAAATGATGTTTGAATAATGCCGGGCAAGTGTGCATTTAATATTTCATGGCTCTCTAAAGACCGATACAAACTTTGGTTAGAAACCGAACAAGAGAACGACCAACGTGCGAGATGTAAGCTTTGCAAAAAGAGCTTTGATGTTAGCAAAATGGGGGAGGCAGCCTTGTGTGGGAACCTTGAATTTAGTATGAAGTATAAATGAAATATATCTGTGACCAAACGACCAAATCTATAAAATACATTCATTTGTGATGTAAGTCTATTGAATGTGTAAAGTACATCATTCTAAGTGTACTCGGGTTGGTACATTATGGGTATATGGCAACGCTGGTGAGGTAAACTGAAGTGATTTAAATAAATCAAAGAAGAAATATTTGTTTGGTCTTGCAGCTGTGCAACATGTTGCCTCAAAATATCTGCTTTCTTTTTGTTACTTAAACTGAATGATCGATTCTGCTGGCTGTGCTTTTTTTCTTTTTGCTTTGCTTGAGAATTCACAAATTCAGAAAAAGAGGAAGAAGAAAAACTTGACTAGCTGATTTGCAATGAAAAATAAACTTCCTGGTAACGACCCTATTTAACTGTCTAAAAAGAACATACTGTAGGCGGTTTTGGGGGGGGCTGTTTAGCTACATACTACTGGGAATAAACACACTTTTATGATCAATATCTTTGATTCATATAACAGACTGAAGTGCTACTTAAAGATGAACGCACGGACACTTGGGTGCTTGGTGTTCCTGGCAGTAATAAAAGGTAGGATTGGAATATTCCACTATGATGCCCAGTATAAAGTTTACTTTCAATAACATTTGAATATAGCTCAGATAAAATACCTGACTTTTCAACTTGTGCTTCAACACCACAGAGCTTTCCTGTAACGCCCCCTTCAAACTAGGAGGAAGTCCACTGACTGCTATAGAGGGGTCCTGCATTGAAATCCAGTGCAGGGTAACTGGGGTTGTCAATGTTGATGGTGCACACTGGTTTTGGATCAAGGATGCAAAATACAATGAATCAAAGAAAGATTTTGTGGGCACTGTAATTTACAGCTCAAATAGCTCAGTACGTCCTGTGAGTGGAGACTATGCTGGCAGGGTGAATTATACTGGCTCACACTCTACAACTTGGATGCCGTTCTCAACAAAGTCACTGTGCAGCATTTTAATCTGCAACCTGAGCAAATCTGACAATGGGAATTATTCTTTCAGATTTGCAGAACAAACTAAAGCTAACAAATGGAAAACTGAACCAGATTTGGTCCTAACAGTAACAGGTAAGTAAAAGATGTTAATACAAACGGATATCCTGAAAAAATACAAAACATTATGAGATATTACAAAATTGAGGGATGAGCTTTTCTGGAGGAAGGTATGATTGTATAACCTAATGTAAATTGAGATTAAAGGTGCACTATGTAGATTTGGTGTTGAAATTTGAAAGTTGGAGAAGTGAAACAATTTTATGTTATATTATCTCAACTAAATACACAAACTTTATTCAAAGTTAAAAATTGATCCCTGGAACACTGCTTAGAGCTTAAAATCTACCAGGAGAGTTACGGTTTCACTGTTGCGGGCCCACCACCACCATAACTTCTTGTGTAGCATTTCATCTTCAAACAGTGTTACAGGGACCACATTTTCCTCTGAGGACAGTTTGTGTATAGAGTTATGAACATATATCACAGAATCTGTACACTTCTCCAAGTTTCATATTTCTCTACCAAAACTCCATATTTCAACATTAAGCTAATATGTTGAACACAAAAAACATTTTATGAGTACACTTTTGTAGTTTGAGTGAGCAAAAAAGTAGGGTTCATTGAATAGAGTAGTACTGAAAATGAAAACTACGCTTTACACTGCACGTGTCCTATTGTAGTTTATAACAAACAGCAGTTTATATTTACCTGACCCATCCATGTGAAACAAGTTCTTCAAACTCACTAGCTTCTCCTACAGAAGAATTTGAAACATTATTTATTTAGCTTTATGACTTTTGACTTGGCTATAACGTTGATTATGAGTCCAGAGCAATTTTCTTACAGATTTGTTTTTGGGCCTTTTATGCCTTTATTGTAGAGATTGGACAGTAGACAGAGTCAGTAAACAGGGACAGAGAGAGTGGGGAATGAAATTAGGAAAAGGAGCCACAGGCTGGAGTTGAACCTGGGCCGCCACTTTGATGACTAGAGCCTCTGTACATGGGGCAGATGAGATGCTCAGGTCAGCAAAGAAAGAGCCTCTGTACATAGGGCACACCACCTAACCACTAGGCCACTGACACCCCAGTCCTGAGCAGTTTTGCCAAGTAAGCAATAAAACTAATTTTTAAGTCAAGAAGTGAGTAGGGCAGCAAAGAATGAATTAGTTTTTTCTAAAGATAATATTCATGGTTGTACTGTTTCTTTTGCTTACAATTGCTTTTCTGCACATTTATATTTCTGCTCTCATTGTCTCATTTTCTTTTCTTTCTTTTTTTCAGAGAACCTATGTCCAATCACTTTTGAGAAACCACCTGTTGTAAATGAATCCAGAATGATCTCACTCAGATGCTCCACTCTAAGTTCGTGTCCTTCAAACCTCAAAATTGAAGGATTGCCAAGTGAGCCCTTCGCACCAGATTTACATAAGGAGGGAAACCAGAAAATTGTGTCAAAACAAATTTCAGCGAACTGGCAGGATGATGGGAAAGAATTATCATGTCAAACAAAAGATAACAAGGATGCCTATTTGATCCGGAAAATCAGTTTGACTGTTGAATGTAAGTTCATGATTGGATTGTTCAGTCTACTATTATCTATTGACTATATGCACGACTATCTACAGTGAACCTATTTCATACAGTTACATATACATACTGTATATCTTGAATCCCTTTCTGAACTAATATGTTGAACACAATAAACATTACATCTTCACCAAAAATGAAAGAGCCGAGAACTGTTTAAGAGTTCTCTCATTAGAGGGACTAAAACTGATTGGTTAGTTCTTTGTGTTGTGTGATCAGCTTCAATGCCTGGAGCAGAAATTGAACGATACTTTTATGTGCACATTATGATACTGTTTTAATATTCATCCAAATAATCCATGTGCCTGTGACAGTTTGGGGAATATTCTGTGTTGATTCATGTCAGAAATAAGGGTAGGAATCGCAGGGTAACCCGCACACCCTACGAAATATGTGACCCATGATATTGATGATATGACAATACAGACATTCTGCAACAACTGATATATTGCAATTCAATCATATAATAATACATTTTCAAATCAGATTTATTGAAGACTATAACATTCCTTAAAAAAAGCAGTGAAGAGCAAGATTAATGTATTAAATCCAGCGATTTGGTTTCATTCAATTTTCATTCACGTAACCCTTATTCATGTTTTAAGCGCCATCATGAGGAGTCGTGAAGTAGTGACATGGTGGTTTACATTGCCAGGGAAATCTATATGAAGATCAACTTTTTCAGAACAAAAATATTAATAATTGGCCCAAATGATACAATAAATGTACCGCATGAGTCAATATTTGTGTATGTTGCTGATATATTGTCTCAACATTTGGTCCCACTGCTACTCTGAAAATCAGATTTAGTCTATTAATTAAGTCTATTAATTTGGTTTTTAACTTGTTCTTAAGTCGTGGTTTTTGTTAGATCACATGATTTAAGTCTTTGTTGGTATATAATTATAGTTATATAATATTAATATAATTAATATATTTTTTGTGTATTTGATTTCCTCAAACGTCAACCAATGCGTATGCTGCAAGACGATTTCTCATTACTTGTATTGACTTTGTTGACACAGATGCTCCAAAGGAAACACAAGGAAGACGTTTTCCAGTCGATGGCACAGTCACGGAAGGTCAATCTGTTACTCTCAATTGCTCGGCCAAAGGACATCCTGATCCCACTTTTACCTGGTTTAAAACGGAACAAAATCATCAAGGGCATCCAGGGGCAGAATGGAAGTTCAGCTCAATACATGGCTCAGATAGTGGAGTATACCACTGTGAAGCTGAAAACAAACATGGCAAACTAAAGTCACAGCCAGTCAGGATTGATGTTCAGTGTGAGCACTCCCTATGTTCATTCGTGAATTACTTTCTCTCAATTCAGTTTTGTCTCAAATTTCAATACAAATGTTTCTTTTATATTTAGCTGTGGCATTTTTGTACAAGCCATGTACAGCATTTAGATTGAAAGTGCTTTATAAATAAATGTATTTTTTACAGTGATTATTAAAACTATTTGCACTTTTGTATTTGTATTAGGATTTCATTGTAGATTAGTCCAAATAAATTACATCTTCTGTTTCAGATAAGCCTGAAGTTGAGGTGAACACTTCAAAGACTTCATCTCCTGACACTTTTACACAAATGAGGAGATAACTTTAACATGCTTCGTCATTCGAAGCAATCCAAAACCTACATCCTTTGTTTGGTTAAAAGATGATGCCCCGTGGAAGTTGCTTCAGATGGTTAATATATATATTATGCCTAATAACACTGGTTTCTACAAATGTCAAGCCACCAACACAGTTGGTACTGGAACATCAGCACTACTTAATATGAAAGTTAGATGTAAGTCTCAAAAATCATTGAACTACATGTTTCTCTGCTGACTGATGATGCCAAAGAACAAACAAATACACTGTTTAACCATAGAAAGCACACTTAAACTCTTCACTTTCTTCCAGACAGCCCAAGGAATACACACATTTCCATCAGTGAAAAGGATACCGAAGTGAAAGTGGGTCAATCTCTGACATTTACTTGTATTACTGATGCCTATCCTCCCCCTACAAGCTACTCCTGGTACATAGAGACTGACTCCTCACAGTCCAAGTCCTGTGCAACTTATAACAACAGTCTACGATTGGAGAGTGTGAACAGAACAAATGAAGCATGTTATAAGTGCAACGCCACCAACAGCATCGGTACGGGGGACATTAGCCAACCTGTGTGCATACGAGTTCTCTGTAAGTAATTGTGAGGTACTGTGATACTGTTCCACATTTTAGTTGTTTTTTTTTTAAACTTATACATGTAGTATAAATTATACATTAACTTGTCTCATTGATATTTTCATGATATAAAGTTCCACATTTGGGATATACTCTTTAAGTTTCTGAATGAAAAGATCTAAACTATAACATTAGTTTGAATGACGTAAGCTACTTGCTGGTTAGCTTAGCCTAGCATGAGATGGGAGACTGCTGGGGGTCACTAAATCCCCCTCGCAGCATATTTAAAGAGTACAAGTTAACATGTTGTATTTCTTTCTCTCTTTAAATTTGTCCAAAACCAAATGGAAAAGTCACATTTCACTGTATTACATTGTGCTATTGCCAGACAGGATAATGCTCCCAGCAAAGAAATTATACTGCCATGAAATCCAATGTTATTTTTTTACACAGTTTCTTAAAGAATTATATAAAATAATTTGTGGTAACAAGTGAACTATAGAGATAATTGATGGCAATCCAGGCTGGTTGTTTTCCGTCCTTTCGCTAAACTAAGCTAACCTGATGCTGTTTGTACCCAGACAACCAATGGACATGCATAAGATTGATTAGTTGTCATTCTTTTCATCTAACCACTCAAAATGAAGCAAATAAGCTCAATTGATCAAATGCCAAGTGTTTTTAATTCAGAGATTAAAGTGTTGTTAATAAAATCACAGCATTTATTTTTACAAACAACTAAATCAAGGGCTGCTTCCCCTCTGCAGATCAGCCGACCATCCCAGAGTTGTCCATGGTTGATGTTGTCAGTGAAGGTCATCCCACCACCATCAACTGCACCGTCGAAAGCTTCCCCCTATCACAGCTCACCTTGAAGAAGACCCAATCATCAAACCCTAAGTCTCCAGAATTGGGTTTCACTCATCCCAGGACACGCCAGAAGTCCAACTATCTTCAACTCACATTTAATGTCACTTCAGCCCACAGAGGCTTTTACACCTGCGAGGCAAATAACAGCATCGGTTGGAAGAAAAGCGTGACAAAGCAGTTGGTGGTGAAATGTGAGTGATTCTGCACATCATTGTCTTTTTGCTTATAGTCTATAATCTCCGTTCGAATATACAGTTAGAATGCAAAGAATGATCATGCATTTACAAAATCTGTGTTGCTTACTTAACTACAACTTTGAGTTCATTTTTCTTTTTTGAGTAATTACATTTATTTTCCACAACATTTATTTTAATAAAGAGATACTTGGCAGATTTTGATTTAAAATTTTATCACGTGATCAACCAGGAAATCCAGATAGTAAACCAGATGGTTAAAGTTTGAGGACAGAGATTAATGGAGTTTGATAAAGTGAATGAATGATAGTTTCTTTCTAAGTGAGATACCATGTCAATGATGGACACTTGTCTTCCAACGAACAAAATTGCTATTAGCAAGATAGTAAACTTAAAGTAAAGTTATGAATATAGGACTTTTACTTGTAATGGAGTCTTTTTAAGTATTGCCCCTTTATATTGGATCATTTTTTGCAGTAATTGAGTAAAATAGGATTGTTTAATCATTTAGTTTAAAGTTTTCAAATTTTTACGAGACAAAACACATGCAATATTTTACACCACAAACACAAATTTAGCCTGATAGTCTTATCTTTATTCACCCCCCCCCCCCCCCCCCCCCCCGAACACACACACACCCAACATCTATATGAAAATGTAAATCATGCAACATTAACATTCTACGGTAACCTTTGTTGTTAAATCATGAAAGTGATGGTGTACAGGTATTTAAGTGAAACTATGTTGAGACCTTTTATTTATTTTTGCAGACCATCCCGAAGACGTGAAAGTACAAGCTCACCCGGATGTTGAAGTTCATGAAAACACCTTGTTGACACTGAACTGCACTGCCCACTCCCACCCACGAGTGACCGCTGTCACCTGGATGAAGACGACACATGGGAAGAGTGAGATCATTGGGGGGAACAGGATCTTCACTGTAAAGTCTGTCAGTACCTCTGATGAGGGACTGTACAGCTGTGCAGCCACTAATGAAATGGGAACCGGAAAATCACAGCAAAAAGAAATCAAAGTCATGTGTGAGTACAATTAAGGACTCATGATGCTGTACAGTTGAACTAGGAGGCAATACAAAACCAGGGGCACTGCTTGTCAACAGGCAAGGCAGGAAACTGCTCTGGGCCCCAGGCCAGAAGCCTGAAGTTGGGGGACAAAAATCACTTGAAAATTTGAGGTGTGCTACAGTTTTAAAATTTGGCTGCAGAAGTATGAATTTGTATGAATGCTATTTAAGGTCCCTTGTTATGCAAAATACACTTTACCGTGTTATTCTAACACTGCTATATGTTCCTAGTCTGTCTACAAAACTGCAAATTATGAGCAAAGTCCATCCCCTCTGTCTTTTGGCTGCTCCACTTTTAAGAAAATGTGTGCTCAAACAGGCCGTTTAGAGATTTTCCCTTCATGACATCACAAAGAGCAGTAACCCCTCTCCCAGGTGGGTGACCCTCCCTCAGCTAGGTGTTTGTTCTACCCTCTGAGTCTGCCTTCTCACCGTAAACGGTGCAAGAAAAGTCTGAGCCACATCCCCTTCCAGAGAGGGGCGTGGTCAGACACAGCTCATTTACATTTAAAGTTACAGACACAGAAACAGCCTGTTCTGAGCAGGGCTGAAATAGAGGGGTTTATAGCTCTGAGATTTACCAAATTTAAACTGGTTGGAATGGAGGATATGTGAGCTTTAACTTGTAGAGAAATGTGAACATTTAGTCAGTGAAAAGTAGCCTATATTTAAACAAATGTATGTTTTTATCTTACCAGAACATTTTGTAAGATCTGCAAAATGTTGAATGAGCATAACCATTGTAAATTTTTAAAACCTGCTGTTTAGATCCATGATGAATTGCTAACAGTGTTTTGCCTTTTGTCTTGAAGCGATTTCAGGAGGAGGATTTAATAAAAACACAAAAACATTAAAGTTTTATTTCAGTTATTCCCTTTTGTCCTTTTAACTTTTTGAAAGTAGATCATTTGACTTGATTTAATTTTTCCTTGATTATCCTGCCTAGATGCTCCAAAACAGACCAAGATCATGAAAGGAGCAGAGCAGCAGGGCCGAGATGGGACGAGATTTGTGACGCTGAGCTGCAGCAGTCACAGCTACCCTCAAGTCACACACTTCGAATGGTACAAGAAAATAGAGGCAGAGAAAAGGGATGAAAAAGTGTCTGATCATCAGACCTACACCGTGTTTTCAGACAAACCGGGAGTCTACTACTGCATCGCAAAGAATGAAATCAATCAAAAGTCCTCTGACCCTGTCCAGATGTTTGTTGACCGTGAGTGAATTAACACAACGTGTATTTATGTGTATTTCATATTTTCTTACCAGAGATGTGTTGACGATTTTCAACAACAGTTTCAAACAAAGCCCCCTGTAGACATTTCTCCATGAAACTCTCTTTTCTAACACAGGGGTCTTTGTAAAGGTCTTGATCATTGTCTTCTTTCTGATCATCATCGTCATGATAGTCATTTTCTTTGTCTACAGGTAAAGTATGAAAATATAATTTATATCGAGTCGGTTCCACAGATAAGTTGTTCTGTCTCTTCACCTTTTTCATTTATGTCTTCAGGCACAAGAAGAACAAATCTATTGAAAGAGGACATGGAAACACTCAGCCCCGCTTTGATCATCTGGTAATGACAGATTTGTGAAACATTTTCAAACAACAAACAAAATGTAGAGACAAATAAAACATATTTTCTTTTGTGTGTGAACGTATAAGCCAATTCAGGGTTTGTGGATTGGCGCCACAAGAAGGAATTTGATGACAGATCCCGTCATGGCAGAGCCTTCAAGGAGCAGAGATGACCTCTTGCCAGACCAGCCGTGCCGCTCCAAAGGCCAGCGAAGACGTCCCTGTCCAGACAACACGTAATAGACAGCCACACACAATCTCCCACACAGGACAAGGCACACACTGTGTGTGAGCAGAAAGCTGGAAGCTGCTGCTCATGCTGGAGTCAAAGCAACCATTTAAGATCCTTCAGACAAGAATGACACATTGAGAGTCTGCCCAGTCATTAATTAAAGTCAATCACTGATAATGCTTTTTTTTTTTTTTTTTTAATTCTCATCGTCATCATTATTCCACAGACCGGCGTCCGACACCAACGTAGTTTACTGCACTGTGAATCATCCTGCACAAAATCAGGTACGGCAAGCTGTCCATTACAAAAACCTCTTTATAAATAAATGAAAGCAGTTGTGCTTTGTGGACTTGCCTAAAAAAAAAAAAAAAAAAATCACCATGTAAGAAGAAATTGCAGCCACATTTTAGCCTTTATTAGAAGGACAATCTGTCAATTGTACACAAAAACATGTCATGAGAACATTCCCAGAGTTCAGAAATATGTTGTAATTTTCCCAAGTCTAATAAAACAAAATTGATGTCTGCAACATGAGCTCCACTTTGGCTTCACATGGAGATGTCAAACCAAAAGCTCTCTTTAACAGTTGGGCATATAAAGTTTGTTGGGCATAAACCAGGAAGAGCGAGTGTGTAAAAAAACAAACTGTGTGTGAAGGTTAACTCATCTAGGCACAAAAAGGATGTTGCAGCCTCTGCTGCATTACTTCTTACAACATTTTAATGCAAATTAGATTTCTTTGATGATTTTTATACGATGAACAAAATGCAACAGTAAAACAGGAAAACGGATAATACAACATGTTTGTTGTTATTGTTAATTTAGTTACACTTAAGGCCTAGTCCACACATAGGTATTTTTGAAAACTGGAGGTTTTCCTTGACGTTTTAGGTCACTGAAAACGCACCTTTTGGAAACTCCTTCCACGGTGAAGATTTTCAGAAACTCTATTTTTTGGCCTGTAATGTCACACTATGTGTCACTTTCTCCTTCCTCTGATGTCATTGTGTGACGCTGTCACTTTTGTTTACATGACATTAGTGCCGTGGCAGACGTTATCAAACTAGTGCTGGTGTTAACGTTGCTAACTGGACTTTTTACACGCTCACACATACATACACAGTTACTCTCCCAATATGTTGACGAGCTGAGGCGCCTGAATGCAAAACTTTGAAAGTGAAATGGTCATTGCAGAGGAATGGCAAGACAATTTTGTGCATGTCAAGGACATCCTTTTTGACTTTGCATGCTCATGACAGTGAGCGTCTTCATGTTTGGACAAAGTTGTTTTTGAAAAATTTAGCGAGTGTGGACGGCATTATTTTTAAAAATGGAGAGGAAAATCTTCAGTTTAAATAAATACCTGCTTACGTGTGGACTGGGCCTAAGTCAACGCAGTCTTTCTTACCCATAGTTACCCTACCTAATAAAACCTTTGATCTAAATTTAATAAAAAAGGTTTTAATATGAGTAGAAATAGTAAATATTTTTAATACAATATTTATGATTAAGTAGCATAGCCCTCATGACATTTGATTTAAAAACCCCTAAAGTCCAAAAAGTATCATTTTAGGTGCACAAGGTACAAAAAACGTCAAATAAGACAGTATCCTGTGTCCATAAGAAAGAAAGAAAAAATCTTCTTTTAAACACATACAAAAAAATCTAAGTCTTCTCCACACTACCAATCAAACATCTACCTTGCCTCAGTATTTGTCTATCTGTTCTTTAAGCAGGCGGATGTGTCGTTCAATGACCAAGCTGCTGCTTCGCTTGCTGTGATGTAACTCTGTCTTCAGTGTTTGTCAGAACACTAACCATTTAGCGCTCAGTATTGTGGAGCAATGAATCACCGGACGACCACTCAGCTTTCGTTTAAGGCATGAATGAACTGATTCAGTTGCTACTGTACATTCACTGATGTCTTCAGTCTGCATCTGCTCAGGGTCCTTCTGGAGCGATGCCAACCAAACAGAAAGCTGGACTCACACAGGACGAATCTCTGAACTACACTTCTTTACACTTTGGAAAGAAGCAAAAGTAAGAACCTACTGTGTTTTTTCATGTTACACCAGAACAAAAAGGGTTTAAGTACATTTCATATTGAATTTTATAATATCTGTTTTTTAGGAACGAATGTGCAAAAGCAGAAGTGGATGTTGTGTATGCTATGGTGACCAAGAAAAAGCCAACCCTAAAGGTCAGAAGCCTATAAACAGCTGTCTCTTCATGTGTCATGTTTAGTTTATTTCATTATAGCACTGAATGATTTTGGCTCCTGTCTTCTTAAAGGAAGACTGTGCAACAATTTACACATTCAGAAGAAATCAAGTATATCCAACACTAATGTCTCGCTGAGTCATGACTGTCTACAGTGAGTTAGAAGCACCAGTCCCTCTAGCTGTATTGTTGTTGTCGGAGCCATGTTTACACCGTGTTTTAAATAGACAGGGCGGCCGACTCCTCCCCTTGTGTATAAAGCTGTTTTAGTCAAGGCATAGAGAAAAGAAGAACATACTAAATGCTTATTTAGATGTTACCTAAGCATTTTTAGATTATGGTCTTTCCGCGTCAACTTATGTGCAATGTGAAGCTACAAGCTAACTTAAGTGTGCTTACGTTAGCCTGCTAACACAACAATGCAGGCCACAGGCAATTGCAGCTCGAGCCAAGGACAATTTTATCGCTACTTGAGCTGACTGGTGATTAATTATGGTGCGTTCTAATTGATAACTCCTCCTAAAACGTGAGTGTAGGGGTTTTGTAGGTGTGTTGCTGGAGGAGAGTGGAGGCTCAGTATAGTGGAGGTGTCGCCAAACAGCAGTTTGTTTTGGTTTCATGCTGGTGCTCAAGGGCAACATCTATTGGATCAAAGACTTTCTTCCTTTAATGTTTGATCTATACCGTGCTGTTGGTTACACAAGAGCTACTCTGTTCCTCTGCTTCTTCTTCATGTTAATATCAACTTCACTATGCACCCAGTCCATAGAGTATAATCTTCCCTCTCTGTCATGATTGTAGAATGAACAAGAGAACCTTGAAGACTATGAGAATACAAGGACAGCAAATGGGGCCAGATTTCAGACTCCACCAAACAATGACTCAGACACCAGTGAGGATGAAGTAGAGCTCAATTATTCCCAAGTGAGTTTCAAGGCAAAGCCTGGACATCAGCAAGCCTACGAAGACTCCAGTACCTCTGATGAAGAAGACATCCAGTACTCGGATGTCAAATTCTGAGTTTAAGTATTCTTATCCTACCTTCCCTGTACAAATGCCTTCTTTATTAGCCATGAAAAACATTTGCAGAATCAATCACTTGGTTTAGTTTTTTAAGTGAGGCTTTATCGCTGTTCTTGAAATGTTTTGCTCCTTTAATATTGTTTATTAGTGGTAATTGTAATATTTTTTTGTGCTTTATAAGTGTGTGTGTAACAGGTAGCAAACTGAAGGATTAAAACTGATTAGCGAACTGAACTCAAATAACAGGGAATAATACATCGCACAAACAGTAAGGAAATTTGTGTTTGGTATTGGCAGAGAAGATTTGGCAAGTTTTTCATGGGCTTAACCCACATACTCAGCTCTGCAGCTCATCCCACAAATGCATGTTCCTTACAAATGTGGCACCATTTAAAAGGGAAATAAACAGGCTTTCCAACCGTATATGATTTATTGCCAAGAAGCATTGTTACAACAAAGAAACAATCTACCAAACAGAAATTTCCTTAATTTTTGTGTGATGTTTATATATTTGTTCAATCTCTTGAATTACAGAGTTTTTTGTGTTGACATGGCTGTAATGGTGTTACACTGTGTAGCATTTGGCTGGTGTCTGAATTATGCAAGTGGAAACCATATGTTAAAGCATAATGATCATACCAAGAAACTAAGGTATTCATGGTCCCGCTATATATATAAAAACAAAATGTTGATTAAAAGGGCTGATTAAAATGGCATCATTTCTCTCTGGCAGTAAACCACATTAAAGAACATACTGTAGGTCATGAGTTTAGAGAGAACAAATTGAAGGTTCATCCACAGCTTGCTGATAGGTTTATTATCTATGTAATGAGCTAACTATCATCTGTGTGTTTTTCAAGTCTGTTTAAATTTTTTGGTTAGTCTTTACAGTTTGTTTCTCAGTCAAGATGAAGGATGAAAATGAAATCAGTTAAAGTAGCAAAAGTTAAGATCCAAACTAAAAGCCTCAGGTGAGTGGCACCAGTCACTTTGAATAAAGTCGCCTGCAGTGCAGCTGCTACCTCCGATGCTGCAAACTCAAAACGGTCGTTCTGCTCAGCTGTGCTACCTGCTGAAAACCAAAGCAGGATGAGGTAAAGTCCTGCATCTTTTTGAAGCCCAGAATCCTTTCTCTTCAGAATTCTATTTCACTGACCTTTTCTATCAGACCCTCAGTGTCATTCTCTTGTCCCAAATTACCATCAGTCACAGTCTGTTCTTCCTTTGCATCTCCTTCGTTGTTTTCTTCAGAGTGCGGATGAATCTCTGAATACTCTGTCATCTTGGAGGCCAGTCCTCTGATCTCCCCTTCTTCAGGCTGATCCTCTGAGTTGGCCTGGAGTTTATCAAAGTCCATGTTGGCATAGAGAAGAGGGTTCTCCTTTACCACTCCTTCCTCCATGATGGCGTTATTGATATAAATCACATCCACCTGTAAAGAGTTGGTCTGCAGGCAAACAAAGATTGACTTTAGCATGGAAGAGAAGATATTGTATTTCCTTCCTTCAAAACATCCTTCCATCCATTGTCTGGATGGGCCACAGTGGTAGCAGGCTGAGCAAGTAAGCTCAGACGTCCCTCTGCCCTCCAACGTAATCAGCTCCACCTGGGGATCCTTTGGACATACTGAGGGGTTCCAAGTCCAGGTGAGCTAGGGAACCTCCCCAGAATCCTTATTGGGATATATTTTAAGTATTTAGTATTTGTTTTTTCTACCTGTGCATGTATGCATTTGCACCTGCACATATGTGTTTTTGAATGTGTTTGTTCATGAATTTTGAAAAAAGTACATTTTTAAAGGGATTAAGTTGTATTAAGTCTGTATTGTTTTGATTCTTCATAAATAAATTTTTTTAAGCGTTTTACCAATGTGTGAGCCCCTTACTAAATCTCAAAGGCTGAACACCCCAATAATCTTGTTATTTTGGCTCATGGCCTTGCCTTATTGCTACTGACGCTCCAACAACCAGCTGTTCATCTAAACATCCGACCCTGAAAACTTTATGGGCAGTAAATTACTCCCCACCCAGAACGAGCGATTCATCGATTTCGAGCAGATTAGTAATGTTTTATATTCGGAGGTGCTGAGCATCATCCATTACCACGTTTAACTCGCCTCAAAAGGCCTCAGAGCCTGCTGGTGGTCACGGTTTAATAAAGCCAAAAGAACCACATCATCTGCAGGAAGTGGCAATGGAAATCTGAAGTCCCCAAACCGAACAGTCACCTAGCCCAGGATGCGCCTAGTGATCCTGAAGTCTCAAACAGACTATTGACACATAGCAGCATAGCAACGGCCACTGTACCCACCAGAGAGTACAATTGTAGGCCTTCTGAAGGTCCCCGAAACACATAGACTAGTTGACCCATCTCTCATGAAGCCGCATCAACCCTGTACAGTAAGTTCTAAGAGTTGGTCCACTGTTGCACGGTTAGGACAGAATCTGAATAGTTTCTCCTGTATCCAAGTTTCAATGAGCGGATCTAGCCTTCTGTCCAGTTACTGACTGGTAAAAAAAGTAAAGGTAAAGACTGTGTACCTGATGAAGGTCAAGTACCAAAACATTGCCAATAAATGTTTGATGGCAAGTTGGAAAGTGTGCGAGAGTTTACCTTCAAGGATATAAACTCACCTCATTATGGCCCATTAAGTTAGAAGTTTCCACGTAGCTCTTGTTCGATAAAAGCCTGTCTTTTCTTTTCCTACAACCAACGGAAAGAAATGTATTAAAATAGACCTCTAGCCTGGTCATAATAAAACATTCAGGCCACACCCCTTCCATTACGAAACGTGTTTGACAATACTTTATGTGTAGCGTGTTGGTCCTTCTACCAGGCCTTAACTTTAAAGGGTTTGATCAGCCATGTTTTATATTCCTCACCTGACCAAGAAAATCACCAGTGGGACACACACCAAAAGCATTCCAACTGCTCCCACTGCAGAGCCGATCAAAAGAGAAAAAGTATGGAGGCCTGTAAAGTCCATAAAAAACATATCAGTCAGCAAAACCAGAAAGAGGGAAATTATTTTACAGAAACACTAAAAACAAACACATCATCCTGCACATTTACCTATCTCCATTTCGCTGGAGGACACGTTGAATGGAAACCTATCAGAGCCCAGAGAGTTGATGCTGAGGCAGATGAGAGATGGCAAGTCTTTGCTACGCGGTACAGGGTGATGAGGCTCGTCATCCCATGGCTCCCCAGGGGAACTTGTCTGATCGGGATATCAGCAGACTGATTGATAGGCATCCCTGCTAATTCCCAAACCAGGGAGGGAACGGGGTTCCCCTGGCTATCACAGGAACACCGAATCTGGGATAAAATCTTGACGCAGCGAGAAGAGGGCAGGATCTCTGGAGCAACTGAGACAGATGAGGAAATTGGCAAATTGCACACATCTGGTCAAACTTACCCAGAAATATAAATGTTTACAATTAATAAAGAAGTAATGAATTAATCTCACATGTGACATCGATGCTGGCATGCTCTGATTTTTCAGCTCCGTGGGCATTTCGAGCTTCACAATAATGCAGATCCTCTGAGAGTTTGGTCACATTAAAGGTGAAGTCTTGCTCAGAGCCCACCAACTCTTTTCTTCTCCCAGACACTCTGAACCAGGTGAAGTTAACCACTGCTGGATTTGCGATGCTTGTGCAGGTCAGAGTTACAGGGTTGCCATCCACTACTGCACCAGAGGGGTCAATTGAAACCGAGGTGTTCTTCGGGGGATCTGCAAAAAAACAAAAGAAAAGTTAGTCCTGAATTCAAGGAACTAAGATTCATGTTGGGAACACATAACAATTTCCTTCATTTCAAACATATGGGGATTAAGACAAGTTACCTTGTGAGGTGGTTTCAAAGTTTAGTAATGCAACATCATGCCTTTCTAACAAACTGTACCATTTTCTTTACCATGAGTGAATAGTGATGGATCTTTAATATAAGTTTGCAAAGAAATCATCAAGTTTAAAATACTTTTTAAAATGATTTTCAATCTTGAATTGCCCTTTCAGGAAAATAAGTCAACCTTCATCCTGTCAACAACGCCTTGATAAATACACACCAAACAAAACATCTACACATAAATGAAGACACTAGCACACATGTGAACACAACCGAGCTCAGTCATGATAGACCTCTGACATAGAAGGCTTAAGAAGTTGTCACGCTATGTGACAATGCGTTACTGTCCTCAGTGTAGACACCCAACAGTTGCCTGTGACTGAGTTTTGGCGTCAGACCATGTTTGCCTATACAGTGGGGACATTTCCAGCATGTAAAAACACTGGAAACATAGAGTTGTGTTGTTTGTTATCAGTGTAAAACAATGTTTTCAGTGTGTTTAATGAACTTACACTGAATATCCAGCTGTATTTCTGCTGAAGTTTCCTCTCCCAGCTCATTTTTCGCTGCACAACGGTAGCTGCCACTATGGCTTGTGTCAACACCATTTATAACCAAGGTCGATCCCAGCTCCTTATCCTGCTCATCATTTATGTGCCAGGTGTAGTTCTTCACAGGTGGGTTTGCACGACTGATACAGGTCAAAGTAATAGAGCTGCCCTCCGGTATTGGACCAGTGGGGTTGACGATTACCATGGTTTCCTTGGGAGCAACTTGAAATAGAAGCAAAAGTGTTGGTTTAGTCCATGTGCGACACAGTATTTGACATTTGTGTTTCTCCTCGACACTAACTTACATTGTACATCTAGCTGAACGATGGATGAGTTCTGGGTTCCCACTCTGTTGCTGACTTTGCAGTAAAATTGGCTGTCGACTTCTGAGACTGTAGTTGAAAGCATCTTCTTTGAGCCCACTGCTGTCACCTGATCCCCATCCACTTTGTACCAGGTGTAGCTGTCTGCATCTGGATAAGCACTGGTGTTGCAGGTCAGAGTCACCGAGCTGCCCTCTTCTACAGGATCAGAATAACTGACTGAGGTGTTATCTGGAGGATCTGGAAGACAATTTTTTAAATTCAAAGTTTGTAACATACCTGGATAAACAGATTTCTTGACCACTTAGGGACAGGTTTCAAACAAACATCGATCTGTTATTACTTTAAAAAGTTCATACTTCCTTCTGAAATATGGAACCAAAGCAGAAGGGATACAACTGCAGTTCCTTGAGTGTCCACTCGAGGCTGCATCAAAAAGCCAAGGAATCCCCCTTTGGTCCCATGTTAAAATGCCCATTATTAGAGAAGAAATTATTTGTCCAG